AGTTATGGACATCAGTGTACAATGCTTGTCCTTTGTTTCTGTCTCTTGGCTAACCATCATACTAGACCCCTCCCTGCTCCTGGAAACTTCTGGTGTGAGCTGGATCCTGTGAAGAAGGGAGCAAGAATGTCCAAGATGGAGGGTAATATGAATAGCTAAAAGTTACGATGCAATGCTCATTTCTACTTCTATGTCTTGTTGATAAAAGAAACTTCAAACTTTTTATAAATTAGTATATTTAATCTTTTGCAGGGAATTCTACAAAACACATAGTAGAGGAAGTGATAGGATCTGAGTTTCTCTGCCTGCCACAGAAATAATATTAATTACTGGGTTTAAAAAATGCCCAATCCTTACAATTTTAAAGAATTAAAAACCAGAATTGACCCTAGTGCATGATCTTCTTCAGAACACAGACAAAGAGTACCATGCTGAAATACATCAGGATCTCCATGGGTTTGCAGAGCTCCTGACAGACCTTCAGGAGCAGGGTGAAGGTATGTGGGCTGCAAATGGAAAGCAAAACCACTGGAGACTGAAACAGGAAAGAGAAAATTGAAGCAGGAGTGGTCTTGCATGACTTCACAGTCTATTGCTGTGCTTTTCAAAAGCTATAGGAAGTGGCTGGGCAGTCCAGGAAGCCTCTCAAATGATCATTGTCCCTTGGGCAGCAGCAGATGTACATGAATATGAGAAATTGGGAATATGAGAAAGACAACACACAACAGTGCCAAATAAAGTTTGTGTTCTTAAGTGTGTGGTATTTTCAAGTATAAAAATCATAAATAAATTAATTTTCACGAGCTGCTAATGTACCATTTTTTCAATAACATCATAAAATGAAGCAAATTTTGTATGGTATATGTTTTAATATGTTATAGATATAAATTTATTTTACGTGTTCCATATAGATTTTAAATATTTCATTGCATCTAAGTATTAATTTTATAAAATTATTGTACCAGTTAATATTATATTCATCTGGGGTTTTTTAAGTTTTTAGAAGTATTTATAAAAGTGGAAAATAGTGGCATAATTTTTATGTTCCTCTGCTGGCAAAAATAATTGTATTCAGCTAGATGAATAATGAAAGGATGAAATACCCTCTATCATCATCATTTTATCGTAGTCATGTTTTATTAATAAAATTCATCAGTTTTTGCCAATTTTCTTTAAAACTGTGTTCTGACATTATTTCAAGGATATTACAATACAACATGTGCAGTAAAAGGTCCAGATCTCAACTTTGTAGAGTTTTTTAGTTTTGATATTTTAGGTAAGCTGATCTTATAAAACTTTTCAAGGCATCCAAACAAAACTAGCACCATTACATGGTAGTGAAAATCAATGGCAGCTCTGCTTTTTACATATTAACTGCTATCTAAGCCATGTACTCTGAAATCAAGTCCAAGGCATCTCACATTTGGCACCCCAGGTTACCAGGTAGTTTCTAGGGTTATGAATGGGGAAAATGATACTTCCCAAGCCCTAGAGTGATAGTGCTCATCCTGGGCTTGAATTTTCTTATGGGCCTCTGAAATGTGCCTGAAGGTGGCCTCACCACTGTCCCGCCTCACACTACTCCACTGTCACACTGTGGGCTCACTGTGCCCTGGGATCCTCCCTCTGGGGCTGGGACGGGACAGGAATCTCCTGATCAGAGCAGAGTCTGAGGGGAGGTGGGTCCTGCCAGGCTGTGGATCTGCATCGCTGCTGCCAGAGATGAAGTGGCCAAGGGTGATGGTTTTGGGCCGGCAAAGGAGAAATGAATGTGGGGATCCTGCTGCTTCTTTTGCGGTGTTAATATCAGGTCCCAGCCATTTTTTTCTGACTCCTTCTGCTCCTTTCCATTCATGTGCAGCCAAGGGCAGGTCTTGGTGTCTCTGGCTGCCACTGTGTGATCGTACTGAGCAAACACACCTGGCTCATTAGCTGTAATTGCATGATCCTTATGGGGGAAAGCATGTTTTCTCTGGGCTTTGACACCCCCTTGGAGAAGTAACATGAAGGTCCTGGTTTAAAGAGGAAAACAGGCTGTGCTTCCATCATGTGCCGTGCTCTTTTGGTGCCTTCCACTGAAAGGCTCGTCCAGCTTCCCATCATCTCCCTTTGCAGATTTTGCCACCTGTACAGAGCACTGACATGCGGAAGGGGAGTACAGAGCCAAGGGTGGGAAAGGCAACATCTCCTCTTCATGGGACAGGAACAGAGGGAGCAGAGCAGAGATTGGAAGAGAAACCCAGAAGAGAGAAAATCTTTGTCTTCTGGTAGTTAAAATTGCTATAAAATCATGAGGCTCAAGATACTTTCCTAAACTGTATTCTCCTCTTTGCCTCTTGAACAGACAAACAGCTTCTGCCAGACCCTGCAAGCCTGACTAAGGGCACCAGGGAGCATGTACTGTATGTTAAGTGGGTGTCAACTCCAGTGTCTCAAAATCACCTGTCCCTGCATTGTGGCATCCTCAAAGACCGTGCATTCAAGTTCAGTATCACCTTTCTGGAACACCTGTCTTCTGCCTTCCCTCCCAATGGCACTTATCTCACTGATCCCTGAGACTCACCGTGGGCATCCTGGCATGTCTGACTTCAGTTAAGCGTGTTGCAGAGCAAAGCACAAGGTTTTTTACTGAAATAAAAATGACAGTGAAAAAAAAGACATTGAAACCATAAATAACCTACACATGTGTCAACCTTACTAGGAATCCTATTCAACAGAGGGTTTTGGGAGACACAAGGCTTGAGTTTACTTCTACTTTGTTCCAGACCAGGTCCCTTGTGTTTCTTCATATAGTTTGACCTGTCTTGCCAGACATCCAGCAATAACTAAAAAGGTTATGACACTTTCTCTCAAAAGGCAAACATCCCCATGGCCAAGTATCTGCATAGCCAGAAGCAGGAATCGGTATTAAGCCTCTGCCATGAGCATAGCAAGGAGCACATAGGTCTTGCTATAGCCCTTCAGTGATGGTGCATATACCTGCAGACACAGCATCTGCTGCATGTTGTCTGTTGAAATCCCAGGGGAGCTCCTCATGGGCACTGTGAGCAGGCCAGCAAGTGCTGTGTCACTGCCTGGCTGGAAACTGTTGTTCCTGTGGGGTTTGTCAATGGACTGGTGGGGAAAGGCAGGTTGCCTTGGCAGGGTATAAATTTTCCTGTCTGTATACCAGCTCTCCTTCAGCAGATGCAGAGTGCAAGAGATGAAGCTCCTCATGCCAGCTACCCTCATCCTGCTCCTCTCCTTCTGCATCCCGGGCACAGGGGTGTGTGAATACAGCCCTGTCCTCACTGTGCCTAATGGAGGCCACTGGGGCAAGTGAGGCAGTTGGCAATTTTGCCACTATGGCTATGCCAATGGATTTGTGCTGATGGTAAAATTCTCCCCATTTCCCACCATCTCCTGTCCCTGCACCCTGGTCTACAACTCTCGACCTCCCAGGAGGGTCTTCTCCAGAGTCTAAGGACTTTCTGCAGAGTTTTTCCTCTTCCTGAGTATTGTACTCTGTACATAAAACTGTGAGTCTTCTGGAAAATTTAGCCTAGAAAATGTTGCCACTGTAGTTACACCAGTAAAGAAAAATATGATTTTTTTTTCTTTTAGTACGAGAGGTCTCCCATCAGATACAGCAAAAACAGAGCTACTGCCAGAATTGTTTTGCTCTCAATCTGGATAGAGGTGTGCTGGCAGATGCATGGTCTTACATGTGGCTGATGTTGCTGGGAGAAGCCACGTCACTGCCGAAATCTGCTGCTGGAGTCAGGGACAGAGGCAGCCTCCTCCAGCGTCTCTCCTAGGACTCAGAGTCTCTGCCTTACAGGTTGGGTCAGAAACAGTTAGAAAACACAAAGAAGAATATGTTACAAGGGTTATGTAGGTACATTGCAGTTTCCAGTGACGCACAGCCTTTCCCATGTGCTTCCCAAGAGATATTCTTATTACAGAAAGGAGTTGGGACTGTTTATGACCAGCAGTTAAAGAACTTTTCCTGGGTCTTCTCTCCCTTGCCTTTACCTCTGTCGCTGTGTGACTTCTACTGCAGGTGGAGCCCTCCCAGTTTGGAAGAGATGATGCAGCTCTGAGTGGCATATGCCTGCATTGTCAAGATGATTCAGTCATCGAGTCCTTGGTAGAGGTGTAACACAGTGGTTTCTCCTGTTTGTCATACACCAGCTCACAAAATTTCCATAGGTGTCACCATTTGCAGGGGTCTCTTCTCAGACTTGCTTTGTCTGTGTAGTGCTGTAATATAAAGTAAATTAAAACAGGTGGTTGGGGTCTTCGTTCATTCATTTTTAGGGTAATTAAACATGATTACTTCATATTACTGCCTTCTGTTTGCTCTTGAAATTTCTGCAGAGCACTGTGAACACCCAAAGTATAGTCCTATGGACAGACTCCTTCTTTGGAAATCTGCAACTCATGGGGCAAATGTGAGAAAAGGGGTTTTTAACCATACCTTTAGCAACTGTTTGGGTGAAGCCCTGGCCCTACTGCAGTGAACAGCACTGCACCTCTGGAGAGCAGGGTCTGCTCCCCCTGCTGCCTGGTGTGTACTTGTCAGCCAGGTCAGGGATGCATCATAAAACATGTGCTCAGGCTGTCCTTGGAGTTTCCACCAGAACCATACCTATCCAATCTCAGAATTCCTGGTATTTTTCTGATGAGATACCAATAAAGAGAAAAATACACCCTTGGAAAGAGGAAAAAAGAAGAGAAAGTAAGGGGCCCCAGACTGCAGCAGGGTATTTGTGCTAGTCACTGCTGTGAGCAAGGAATTGTTAAGCTTCAGGGCAGCATGACGAGGAGAAGGAGCACTTCCCAGCAGTCTGCAGAGCCCAGACATTCCTCTGTCTGCTTTTTGTCAGGTGGGGTACCTGGACCAGCTTCTAAGTTTGCCCTGGAGGCTACTTGATCTCCTCACTGAGAACAGAGAAGTCCCAAGGAGGAGGTGGTGGCACAGCAGCCAACATCCAGTTCAGATGCTCAGATGGAACTGTGCTAGTAGGTGATGGACTATCATGGAGTAGATTTGGCCCATGGAGCAAAAGCTGCAACATGTGTGGTCTCCAGACCAAGGTAGAGCCCCCACAGGGGCTTCAGAATGACACAGCGCTCAACAATGTGAAGTTCTTCTGCTGTAAATGAGCACCTGCTCCATCTTCATCACAGCCTACACATCTCATATCCCACAGCAAATGAAACATCAGTAAACCTTGGCTCTAGCTTTATACTGGGACATGCCTGTGACGTTTTGACTGCTTGCATCTTGCTGTACCTGCCAATGCTTTAGATGATGAGATGTCTTTTACAGCAACCACTACATTAGCATAGCTTCTCATAGTTACTGAAGCTTATTGTGTTCACAAGAATCACCACATTATGTAACTGCTGGTATATCACTGTGAAAACACCCAATCTCTGACAATTGCTCAGAACTGAGGATCAGTTTTCACAACCTTTTTTCTTCTCTGAATGGTGAGTTTCTTTCAGGTTTGTTCTGTCCATTTTTCCCTTGTTTGAAATAATATTTGACCTGTTGACATGACAGACAGGGAAGAATGGGTATTAGTTTGAGTCTACTTGAGGTTTCTGACCAAAGAGAAAATGATCAATGAAAGCTAAATGGGGTGAAACTGAAATTTGGGTGGGCTCATGAGAAGTGTCAAAGGTTTGGTAACATTGCCCACTCCTAACTTTAATTGCCTCAAGACTTTTACATGTTTTTTACAAACAATCTATTAGCGCATACCTGAGCTCCTGCCTTAGAAAACATAGTTAGAAGGTGTGCTTACCCTGAGCATTCATCTATGTGTGGCTGTGGTGCCACGTGGGTGGGCTGTAGCTCCCCAAACCTCCCTTGCTGCTGCTTTGTAGTGTGATGCACTGGCTCACCTAGGTGTTAGTGCAAAAATCATTTTCATGGGACTTGGTTTTTTGTTTGTTGCCTATGGGGTTCATGCTCTAAATAGAATGGGGAGAATCCAAACTAAAAATAAACTCTGTGTCATTCATCCGGTTTTTATGCTCCAATTTGCTGGATAAGCTTCAAGTTATTACCTTGTCCGGATGTGCTAGATATAAAGAACGTACTCTCAATTTGGGGAGAAACCATACCTGGAGATCATTATTGTGCCCTAATATCTGAGCCACTGGGTCTCTCAAGAAGTCTTCTTGCCTCTCTGAGCACCTTTTAGGAAATGTAGCTTTTGCTAGTCTCTCAAAGAAATGCATTGAGCAACAAGTTGTAGTTGGTGCCTTCTGGCTCCGTTGTCAGACCTGCACACTACTCTGCTGGAGGAAGCAGCCTGTTTTTCTCTGTCACCTTGTGTGGATCTTTGTATTGTTGCTAGTCTGGAGGTTTAAGGTATTTTCAGCTTTGAGCAGGAGCACTACTTTGGCCAGGTGCTCAGGCCTGCTAGAGGTCAATGATAAGAAGATATGAGCATGTTTTTATTTGAAGTTGGGCTTTGTTTATTCATTGCAGTGAGAAGAGCACTTAACTGAGACATGATTAGGCTGTAGCTCTACTTTCCTCAATGTCCATGAGAAGACCACCTACAGAGCTGCTCCCATTACTGCTCTCTCTCTATAGCAGTACCTAGGGAACACTACTTATTTGCCAGGTTGGTATTTTGGATATAGTAAGTGCAATTAGTTGTGTGTTATGTACAGTAAATGCCACATGAGGTAGTTGCTGTTTCACACAGGCTGCAGTGCAGGTGGGCACCAGGGCATGTGGGCCAGGGAAGGAGGATCTGGGGCCTTTAAGGAATGGGTGCTTTGGACTGCAACGAGAAACAGAGTGTGTGTGTGGTGCTTACCCAAATAAAACCTGCCGTCCTCATTCAACAACTTGTCTATTTATAGTGAGACCTCACAATGGACTTCAAGTGCCATGAAAATCTTAGAGGGCCCATAACCCTTTATCATAATGACTGAATTCTATCAGCCATCAAAAATGCCTTATTTTCCTGCAAAAGTTTGCTCTTCTGCTTATTTGTACCTATGGAAAAAAACCTTCTCATATTTCACCTCAACTTTTCCTAGTTTTGCTTTCTTTTACTACTTCCTGTCTTGGGGCTCTGAATAACTCTTTTGCTTCTGAGACTATGTATATTGTTACCTTGCAGATATATGCAGTCTGTTATTATTGTTCCTTTTATTGCCAATATAAATTTAACTCCTTAAATGCCTATATGATTTATTATTCTGTATATAAAGCCATAAGAGCTAAGTGGACTTGATTTCTGTTGACTTTGAATTTTAAAAATAGTTACAATATTTTAAACAACTCTAAAGCACACAAACTAATCTCAGTTCACTGCATGCAAAAACTTTGTGATACCTATCAATAGCCAATACCAATCAATACCAATCTAGAGCAGCTGGAATTATGATCCTATGAATTCAGAATTTTTTCCCAATCTGAATGGACTGGCTCATAAAAGTTGAGCCTGGAAAAAAACATTTCCTTCTGGAATGATGGAGAGGGTCCTTTTGAGCAGCCAGCCCAGTGGTTCTTAGAAAATATAGAGACCAGACTGATATGAGGATGGCTTATCAAGGATCTGTATTTAACCCTGCCTACTGGTCTACTCTATTCAGGAATGTGAGCAGAGCAAGCTCAAACTCTACAAAATCCAGATGAATCTATTATGATTCATCTAATTAGCACGGTATAACGTTCTTTTTTTCTGAAGTTTTAAATATACAATGCTGCTGCAATTCAGTTAAGCAACTGAGCATAGGCTTAATGCAGGTGCATGAATAGTCCTGTCACTTTCAACAATTAAAATTAAACACGAGTAGGTGCTTTATTAGAATGGGGCTGAATTTGCTTGCTAAAATTATTTATTATGCATGAAAAATATCCGAACTGCAGTGCCTTCAGGTAGAATATGCCTGAGGGAATATGGACACCTGTAATCTCTAGCCCACGTGCTCATGAGTGGCAATGTCCTTGTCATCTGCTCGTGTTACAGGAAGAGCATCTGAGATTTAGCAATAACCTAACCCTGTTCTTTCTCTGTTTAAAGGGGAAAATTCAGCTCTTCCAGGTTGGTGTTAGGTAATACATTCCAGTCAGAGAGAAAGAAATCTTGCGAGGAACTGATTTGGGGCTGCTGGCTGTGGATGACCAACGGGTGTTGATGGGAACTGATGGCTTGGTCGCAGCCCTCCAGACACCGGGTGCTTACCGTGCATGCTGTCCCTGCTGCAAAACAGATGGTCTAGTCCACAGCGAGGAGCCAGGCGGGTATCAGAGCTGGACACAATTCTTCCAGACTCCGTACAGAGCTCCACTTCACACGAGACCATGGCGCAGTTGTCAGCTCTCATTACGTCCCTGTGAGTGAACTCGATGCCTTCCCAGTTGGGCTGAAGCCAGAGTGGCTGGTGGAGACCCGAGGAGGGGCAGCTGCTCTGGGGACCCTCTGCTTTCACGGGGAAGAAATTGCTCCCCAGTTCACTGGCTGTCCTGCACATTTTCCCTGGGGCAGAGCAGAGGAGCAGGGAGAAATGCTGCCCCTTATACACTCCTGATATGGGGAGAGAAGGAGAGGGGTGAGCAGTCCTTGTTAGAACAGCCCTCCTTCATCAACCGGGTGACACTCAGCATGTCAGGAGGACTGACATGCAGCTTTGAGTTGCTGCAGAAATCATCAGGGGAGTTAGCCGGGCTTGAGAGGGGTCAGAGACACAGTCTTGAAGCTAAACCAGAGGGAGAAGCAGCTGTGAGATGAACTATTGTTTCACGTCTCTGCGCTTACCTCCAAGTATAAGAGTTACTTTGTTTTTTTAATTAATTCATTTTAATTGTAGTTTAAGGTACTTTAATGTTAGAAAGTCCCAGGCAGGCTGGCGGTAGGTACTGGTTTGCACTGGCAGGCCAGAGTCCCCTAGGAGCTGGTTGGGATCTCCACAGAGACAATTTACACA